CAAGGCACAGACCTGGCATCAATGACAGAGTGACAGGTGGCACCAAGATCCCTGCCCCGCTTTTCTCCCTACTATACAGTATCTTCCTGATCTTGACAAAGCACTTTGCACATACACCTTTCAGACATTTTTCACGGGACATCTTTTGACTAGAAAGCCACTTCTCATCATTCTGAGCCTGTCCACCCACTCTCCAACCTGCCTTTCGTCCTTAATGACTAGTCAGCCCTCACCTTGGATCCCCAAGTCAGTCATTTACCTAACTCCTGGGTCTCCTCACTGATCATCCTCGGAAATCAGGTGACTAAAGCCCCCGATCTAAAGCCATTCCCTGACTTCTGCTGCTCATGAGTGCAACCTGAGACCTCATAACTTGGGCCAGCCCCCCCCATACACACACACACACACACACACACACACACACACACACACACACCCTTGCCTGTGCCCTCATATCCACCACATTTAGAGCTTTTACTCACGTTACACCTTGCATCTGGAACACTCTTCCAGTTGGCAGATTCCGTCCCCACTTAATGTTTTAACTCCAATGTCACCTCCCAATTTTGCAAGTATTCCTTTCAGGGGCTCCTCTGCCCTTTGCTGCACCTCCAGGGCAGCAGGTGGGTGTAGTCCATAGAGAACTGCAATGCTTAACCCAAAGACTGGTGGCTCTGCAGGAGGAAGAGGGGCAGTCTCCTTCTGTGTGATTCACATCCTCAAAAACCCAAATAGAGGGTTGTGGATGGGTCAGTTCAACACTCAACAGCAATAAGTATGTGTGTGTGCACACTTTGCTACTCAGCACAATCAAATCTGCATTTGGTAGAATTTACTATTTTGGGTTGGGTGAGGATAAATATTTCCCCTACCCTTAACTCTCAGTGTTGGATTTTATGCACCCAAGGGAGTAATAAAGTGGGAGTCCCCTTGCACCCTGGTAAACTCCCTTTAAAGTAGGAGCAGCACCCTTTTGAAGGTCATTTAGAAAGGTCATGAGGTTGGGGCTTAGTGTGAACTCACTCTGGGTGGACTTGGGGAAGGGATGGGTACACCTGAACTTCAGCAAGAAGAGGCCATTACCTGCCCAAGAAGCTGATGCTTTATCTTTGTGAGGGGCCAGGTGCAGGGGTGAGGAATGGAGGGAAAGTGTGGGGAAAAGTGGAGGGAATGAAAGCTTACACCTGTGTTTTAAATAACTGGCTGTGGAAGGTGACCCTCGGGGCAGCATCAAGGCAGATTTTGGTGAGGACACTGGCAGAGGGAACAGGGTGAGGCTGAGCGTGGGCCGCCAGGGATCTAAGGAGTTTGGGGGTGCGGTGGAGGAGGGCGGGGCTCGGGGCAGATGCTGAGCCTGACACCGTCGCCAGTGCAGCCAGCTGTAGGGGGGGCCGTCGCTGGGGGGTCAGGGCTCCGCTGCACCGACCGGCTGGGTAAGGGGCGGTGTTATCAGACAGCCCAGCTGGCTCAGAGGTGGCCTCCAGCGCTGCTAAATCGGGGCCACTGGCTCCTGCCTCAGGAAGAGGGAAACGCAGGCAGGATGTCCTCTCCTGTTGCCGACAAGTCTTTTCCCATGAACCCCTGCTGACCTCGACAGCCACGTGGCGGGGCTCCCCCACTCGCCACCCCAAGATGCATCTGCTCACTGGGCCACCCACACCTTCTGCCGGGGCGCTAGGGCAGGGGCGCGTGGGGCGCAGGTGCCCGTGCGTGGGGGCGGATCTGCTGTCCATCCTGTCTCCCTAGGCCAGTGCACCCAGAACGTCTGCTGCGACGAATGACCGCACCTTCCTGATCCCAGACTTTAACCCTCCACATGACCGGAAAACAAAAAAAACGAGATCCCAGAGGAAGCCAGTGTCTGAAAAGGTTCGAAACGTAGGAATCCCTGGCTACAGCTGGGGACCTGTTGTTAGCGTCTAGTTCACTGGTTGATTCAGGAATGAGAGGGAGGGAGTCTCCTGACTTCTCTCTGGAGGAGCATCTCAGAGGGCGACACGCTTTGCTTGCTGGAGAGGAATCTGCCATGCGTACGTTCAAATGACAGCAAAAGAGTAAACTAAAGATGGAGAACTTTCCCTCCTGACTAACAGCTCACCAGCTTTCCTTGGATCCTCAGATTTATTGGGACTTGAGGCATTTAGACCCTCTTTTGGTGGTTTGAGCTCTAGTGACTTAGAGGTAAGGAATTGCACTGCCAATGCAAAGGTACACAGCTAGAATTCACCAGTTGCTCCAGAGCAGAAAGATGGGCAGTCTACTCCAGTGCGGATTTCCTGAAAATGAACCGGAGGGTCAGCTATGGGGTGCTTTTCCCTCCCCACCTCCCACTGGCTTAGTGGTAAGGAGCTGGGCTGCCAACCCAAAGGCATGGGGTTTGAATCCATCAGCTGATCCATGGGAGAAATATGGGCATTCTCCTTCCGTGAGATTTATGGTCTCTGAAAATTCTCTGGAAGGTCAGCTATGACTCAGTTCTGACTCGAAAGTACATAACAACAGCAGCTGCTCCATTACACTCTATCGCTCCCAACTTTCTTCCTTGTTTATCTGGCATTGTTGCATCAACTGGAGGCTCTAGAAAGTTCTGCTGGAGCCCAGTGGACCTGCCTCCCCAGTGGACCTCCTCACATTTGCTTCTGCCGTGGTTCAGTCTGCTGCTTCAACTTCCCATTTCTCCCCAGCCCTATGCTTAATTTATCCACAGTTATTACTACTTCCACTCCTGGCATCTCTCATTTCTCTTGGGTCCATCCACTTTCACTCACTTCATGACCTTTCTGGCTCAAGTCTTACTTGACTCATCTGATCTTAACTCAAGGAATCTGACCAGATGGCTGCCTTGCTCAGAACTCACCCTTAAGCTACAGGTTCCTGCCATCCTCTCCTGCCTTGTAATTCCCTCACCTCTTCCCATCCCACACCTCTGCTCCAGGCTCCAGCCACATATGTCTTGCTACATACACCATCGGGCCTTTGAGGGGTTCCCCGCCTTGCCTGGCGTGCCCATCCCTTGAATTCTGCAGATGAGCTCAAAGAGCATCCCTCCAGGAAGCCCTTTGCTGGAAGTGACACTTCCTTCCAGTGCAGCCCACAACCACCATCTGCACCTCACTAGAGTTACTGAGCATTTTTGCCCGTGGGCTACAGATGTCTGTGTCCCTGCCAATCTAGCACTCAGGAAACCCCCAAAGGACAGGGTCATCCTCACACTAGCCACACCCTGGTCCAGCCTGGGTCACACCCTTCTTCCGTGAATTCCTCAGGCTGACACCCTCTGCATCCTCCAGTCACACTCAGTGCAGCACCCTGCTTCACTACCCTCAGCCCTTCACATTGCTGCTACCCACTTAGTTGATTCAAATCCAGTGGCCACTTGCTCCTATCCTCACTCTGCTTGACTCCTTCAGTACCCGTCACTGCTGTACTTCCAGCTCAGTGGCTGCTCGGCTCCATGGCATCACTACTTAGGCCTCTTCTGCATTTCTCAGGATGAATATTTCCTCCCTGTCTCCTTGTCCCAGTCAGTGTCCTATCCTGGACCCTTTACTCTGCTTCTAGTCTGGTCTCCCGTTTAGTCTTTTTCTTTAGCTTCAACTGCCTCAACCTCTGTTCAAAGTTGAGGTCTCCTACCCTTACTTCTGCAGTCCCACCAGGACTCTGTTCACCCCTGTTCCCCCACATTCAGTCACTCAACAAACATACTGAGCATTTATGAGAGCCTGGGTCTAGTCTTTGTACAGGGGAGAAGGTACAGGGCCCAGGGCAGCTTGATAGCATCAGAGGCTACAGGTGCCCTCCTCGCTCCTCTCCTTAGCTTCCCCTCCACCTCTCTTGTCCTCAGCCACTCAGCTGGTAAAGGCATAAGTGGTAACAGAAAGGAGAACTCTCTTTCCCTGCAACCTGAGGACTTTGGGCAAGTTTCATAATGTCCTTTGTCTGAGCTTCACCATCTGTAAAATGACTGTGAGGATTAAAAGTAATGAAGGACAAACAACAAACAAACCCATTGCTGTAGATGGATTCTAAACCATAGCAATCCTATAGGACAGAGTGGAACTGCCTCATAGGGTTTCGAAGCCTGTAAGTCATTACAGAAGTAGACTGCCACATCTTTGTCTTACTGGGATGTGGATTCCAACTGATAACATTTCGGTCAGCAGTACCAGGGTTCTCTGAAGCACGCAAAAACTGATGTTCACAGGTATTTTAGTTGTGGGTTGTGGCTTTAGTGGTAAGGAGCTGCACTGCAATCCTAAAGGCTCATTGTTCAAATCCACCAGCTGTTCTGCAAGAGAAGGATGGGCACTCTGCTTCTATGCAATATACTGCCTCTGAAAACCCGCTGCAGAGTCAGCTGAGTTGGTTCTGACTCAATGGCATACAACAACAAGAAGAATCATTTATTACTAAAGCAAACTTTCTGTATCTCCCATACACTTCTCCAAATGCCAGGGTCCTTTCTCCATTTCTTGATTACCAGGGATCACCAGATTCTTGGAGGACTTCAACCCCCTGGCATCTCCTGTGCTATAGCATTTTATATTCTACTCCCTCCCTCATGCTTCACCTTCCTCTTCTTTAGTTCCTCGCGCATCAGCAACCTCTGGTTTGATTTTTTATCAAGCCAGAGCCAAGTTAAGAAACACATCGCTGCCCTTGCCTCTTCTGTGCGTAAAACTTTCGTGGCGCCCTGTGCATTAAGGCCCAGGTTCCTCGCTGCTAACCCCTTCAATCCAAGGAGCCACTTTGCCTCTTCTGAGACCTTGACCCTGCCGCAAATCCCAGTTAACACCTGCTCGCTCTGCACCCAGCGGCGCGCCAGTCTCTTCCAGAGTCTCCCTAGTTCCAAGCCTTGGGGGGTGGGGAGGGGAAGGGAAACTCCGGAGCAGATTTTAAACACAGACAGTCGGGGTCGGGAAGTGCGCACCCAGCTCTGGGGCCTGGCCAGAATTGGCGCCTCCGCGTCCAGGGAACAATCTCAGTGCCGGTGGGTCTACAAGGCCAGTGGTGTGGGGCGGGGATTCCCGGAGGAACCAAGCTAGGAGATGAGGGATCCAGGCTGAAGGTAACAACGATAAGGGGCCTGGCCCGCAGGGATCCACAGGCCGAGGTGGTCAGAAAGCCCGACAGCGATCTCCGCACGCCGGAGCAGCCCCGCTGCCTGTCCCTGACCCGGCTGCAGTCCCGCCCGTCTTTCCTCATCCTGGCCGCCCGGGAGCCCGGACTCCTGCGCTCCGTCCACTTTGCGTACCCCCGCCCTGCCTCCTCCAGTGTCCCAGGCTTGCAGCCAACCGTGTGTCCCCCCGACTTCCACAAAACTCCTCGGGGATCCCTCCCTGCCAGTTCTGTTCCCCTCCCGAGTCCGTCGAGGCGGCCCCACCACTCGCTCCAGCCGGGACGGCTCCCTCGCCTCCACCGCTCGTCTTGCACTCCGGAGCGGGCGGAGGTCTCTGCGCTCACCTTGCAGGAGTCCGAGGCAGAGCCAGAGGCGCAGGCAAAGCGCGGTGCCCCACTGCATCTCCGGCCGCTGCGACGCGGGTCCGACGGGCCGGGGCTCCGGGCTCCGAGTGCGGGCACCCGCCGGGCAAGGGCCAGGGCGGGGCGCGTGGCGGGCGGGGGCTGGGGGCGCCGGGGCGGAGCCGACGGAGGAGCCCTCGGGGCGGGGCCCGGGGGCGGGGCCGGGGGCTGCTGACCACTCCCCGCATCTCTCAGAGCGTTCAAGTGGGAAGTGGGGGCTCGGCAATCTCGTGTGATGCCATGCGGGGCAATCCTTTCCAGACCGTGGCGCCCACCCTCAGTCTCTCCTAGGACGGTCCTGTCTGAGAGCACAGGTAAGGACAAAGTTCGCTGTGCACCCGAAAGACAGGGGACCCGGCAGTCAGGGACGGGCAAAATGTGGTTGGCACGTTACAATTACTTAAAATTATAATAATACAATTTCTCTTAAGCAATAAATAATACCTTTAGATCAAGCAAAAGGCATAAATGCAACTTTAAACTAGAGCAGTAGTGTCAAATCTTTGAAAGCATGAAGCAAGCTTCGTTATCGTTGATGCCAAAAGAGACAGTGCCTTTGACTTGGGCGTCCTGATTAAGTAGCCCCCAACCTGAAAGCCTGGCCTCCCTTTTAGATCTCTCCAACTATTTTCCCCCTTTTGTGCTCATCCATGTTGTTGTTGTTATATGCCTGTGACTTATGGCGACTCTATGTACAACAGCTCTGAAGTCTGAGCCAGTCTCACTGACGCCAACCCATCTAAATCCATTGCTCAGTTGCCATGTCAATCCATTTCATCCAGTGTCTTCCTCTTGCATTATCCTTCCACCCTTCCAAGCATGATGTCCTTCTCAAAGGATGGTCCCTCTTGGCCACATGCTCAAGTATGTGCCTTTAAAATACTAGTGCCTAAGAAAAACTTGGTTTCACCCTCTTCAACACAGACTTGTTTTCTTGGCAGTCCATGGCATGTTCAAGATTCTTCTCCAGCATCACAACTCAAAGGCATCAATTATTCTGTCATCCTTAGTCATTGCCCAGCTCTCTGATACATAGCCAGTAATTGTGAAGACCATGACCTGGATCAGGTACACCTTAGTCTCTAGACTGACATCTTTGCTCTTCAGCACTCTGGAGAGACACCTAATAGCAGATTTCCACAATGCAAGTCTTCTTTTAATTGCCTCACTCCTGGGGCCAAGAGTGTTGATTGTGGAGCCGAGCAAGCTGAAATTGTTAATAACCTCAATCTCTTCTCAATCACTGCTGCCAGTTGGCCCAGTGGTGAGAATCTTTGTCTTCCTGATGTTTAGCTTCAATCCATATTGAAGACTATAGTCGTTGACTTTCTGCAGCAAGTGCTTCAGGTCCTCCTCAGTTTCAGCAAGCACGTTTGTCATCTGTATAACACAGGTTGTTGAGTCTTCCTCCAATCCTGATGCTCATGCATTAAACATCCTTTAATCGGGTGACCCTTTCTGACTTGAAAACAGTCACATAAGATTCTTTGCTCTTTTCAGTTCTGTTATTAAATTTTCCTACATTGAAGTGAATCATGTGAGAATGTTTATTGTAACATCCCTCTTCTGCTTTAGATTTACTTTGTTCACATTTTCTGTAACGACTGCCTCTCCCCACCAAAGTCCACTTGTCTTGTTGAAAACCAGGAGTGTGGTAGCCATTACTGTCTCTCTCAAGTCCATGAATTGAATTGAATATATTAGTAATGTAGGGAGCTCTGGTAGTCTAGTGGTAAGGAGTTGGGCTGCCCACTCAAAGGTGTGGACTACAAATCCACCAGCTGCTTCTGGGAGAAAGGTGGGCAGTGTCTTCCCATGCAATTTACTCTCTCTGAAAACCCAGTTTCCAATAGCCTTGAATGAGAGACACTATCATGTTTTAGTCTGCAAGAAGCCGTGCCAGACTCATCCAAAGGCTCATCTTTCTCATGGTTAAAACTCATCTGCAGTGCTACGTAAGAAACATGAGGACTCTCCTCCCTTGCCATTAACAGCCTCAGAAACTTAGTGGAAGGTCAGCCATGGGTCACTTCTGGCTCAAGTAATTGAATTTGGATGTTTTTGAACCTAAAATGAAGAAATGATGAAGTAAGAGAAGTGAACAGATTTCAAAGAGCAGCTTAAGAAGACATGTTGGTGCTGATTGCCGCTGAGTCGAGCACGACTCATAGCAACCCTCTGAACAAAAGACCTGAATCCTGTTCTATGACTATCATTGTTTCTCAATGTTCATAGAGTTTCCAGAGGCATATTGTTTAGGATGTGGGTGCCACTCCTGCTTCCAATGAAAAGACATAACATAATATTATAACGAAATGTCAAAGATCTGGAGTCAGAAAAACTGAAGAGGAACACACTTGACATTCCTCAAACTGAAAGAGCTGAAGGGGAAAAACCCTCATGCATCAAGTTGCAATTAATAAAGCAAATATTAAATATTGAACATGAGCAAATATGGTAAAATAATGTATGCTGGAGGAAGCATCAAAAAAAGATGGGAGGAATACATAGTCACTGTATCAAAAATAATTGGCCCATGATAAAACATTTACAGAAAGTGGCATATTATATCAAGAACCAATGATACTAAAGGAAAAATTCCAAACTATACTGAAACACTGAAGGCACTGGAGAAAAAAGGAAGCCCTAGGAACTGATTGAATACTATTTAAGATGTTTTAACAAGTAGATGCAGCCCTGGATATGCTCACTAGACTATGCCAAGAAATTTGGAAGAAGTTACCTGGCCAATTAACTGGAAGAAATCCATATTTTTTCCTGTTCCAAAAAAGGTGAACCAAAAGAATGTGGAAATTAGTGAATAATATCACTTATATTGCATGCAAGTAAAATCTTGCTGATGATTATTAAAAAATGGCTGGAGGAAGTACATTGACTAGAAATTTGATCTGAATTGAGAAGAGGCTATGAAACGAGGGATATGTACTAATGTCAGATGAATCTTGAAGGAAAGTAGAGAATATCAGAAAGAAGTTTACTTGTGTTTGGTCATAACAAATTATGGATAATATTAGGAAGAATGGGAATTTTGGAACATTTAATTGTGCTCATGTGGAACCTGATTATAGACCAAGAACTAACAGAAGTTTGAACAGAACAAGGGACTATTGCATGTTTAAAATCATAAAAGGTGTGCATCCAGGTCGTATTAAAATTTTTCCATATCTGTTAAATATGTATGCTGAGAAAATAATCTGAAAGCTGAACTATATGAGAATGTTGTAATAAGATTGGAGGAGGACTCATTGACAACCTACTTTGTGCAGAATGACACAAGCTTACTTGCAGAAAGTGAAGAAGTTTTGAAGCACTACTAAAGAAGATAGATGACTAAAACCTTCAACGTGGATTGTATTTCAACATCATGAAAACAAAGATCCTCATCACTGGACTAGTAGGCAACATCAGTATTGATGGAATAAAAGTCTGAAGTTTTCAAAGATTTTATTTAGCTTGGGTCTACAATCAACATCCATGTCTGGTGGGATTGTAAAACGGTGCAACCACTCTGGAGGGCAGTTCGGCATTTCCTCACAAAAGCTGAACATTGGAATTCTGCATCATCCAGCTATTCCACTTTAAGGAATATACCTTGAGTAAATAGAGCTGAGACACAAGTGGAGATCTGTACACCAATGTTCATGGGAGTGTTCTTTGCTATCACAAGAACATGGAAACGGCCTAAATGTCCAACCACAATTAAATGGACTGAGAAATTGTGGTACAACCACATGATGGACTACTACATAGCACTCAGGAGCAACGATTTAGAAAATTACTACATAGCTTGCAAGAGACTAGTGGGCATTATGCTGAGTGAACTAACTCAGTCTAATAAGGATAAATACTGCGAAGGACTTTTATTGTAAAACAGAAGGATAACTACTAATACGTATATAAGGACCCAAGGGGAAAGGGGTGGGAAAAGAGGGAAGGGTTGCACAATTTGGTGGGTGGAGGGACAAGGGAATAGGGAGTAAGGGAAATGGTCAAGATCTGGCCAGATATAGAAAGACAGGGTAGTGATGATCAGGGTTTAATGGCGAATGATTTTATAAGACCTAATGACCGAGAATGACTATATTAAATGCAATGTAAATGAAAGATAGTGTGAAATCCAATGTATATGAACTTTTAATGCAAACTAATGTAAAATAAAAAAAATAAACATTTAACAAAAGAGATGTGATGGTCAAGAGCTCTTTAAAGTATTAAAGAACAAAGATGTCAATTTGCAGACCAAAGTATGTCTGACCCTAACCATTGTGTCTTCATTTGCTTCATATGCATGTGAAAGTTGGACAAAGAATAAGGAAAACCAAAGAATGATGGATACTTTTAAATTGTGGTTTTGGTGAGAATATTGAATATATCGTAGAATGCCAAATGAACTAATCTATGTTGGAGGAAGTGCAACCAGAGTCCTCCTTAGAGGTTGTTGTTGTTGTTATGTGCCCTCAAGTCAACTATGATTTGTAATGACACTATGTACAATAGCTCTGAACCCTGCTCTATCGTGAATCAGTCTCACACCCTCATTACCATAGTTACTGTGTTAATCCATCTCACTCTCCCTCAGTCTCTTCACCCTTCCAAGCCATGATATCCTTCTCCAAGAATTGTCACATGCTCAAAGTATGTAAGGCAGAGCCTCACAATCCTTACTTCTTAGAGCAACTTGGTTTCACCCTCTCCAAGACATATTTAGTTCTCTTGGCAGTCCATGATATACTCAGCACCACAACTCAAAGGTATCAATTATTCCTCTGCCATTTTTGGTCATAGTCTGCCTCTCTGATGCATAACAAATAAGAAGACCATGTTCTGGATCAGGGCACCTTAGTCTCTAGACTGACATCATTACTCTTTAGCACTCTGGGGAGATCCCGGACAACAGATTTTCCTCATGCAATTCATCTTTTGAGTTCTTTTTTTTTTTTTTTTATCTTTTGAGTTCTTGACTGCTGGTGCCAAGAGTGCTGATTGTGGAACCTAGCAAGCTGAAATTGTCAACAATCTCAATCTCTTTTCCATCTGTCATGGTGCTGACAGTTGGCCCTTGGTTGAAAGTCTTCATTTTCTTGATGTTGAGCTTCTATCCATATTGAAGACTATGACCCTCTGCAGCAAATGCTTCAGACCCTCTTCGGTTTCAGCAAGCAAGGTTGCGTCATCTGTGTAATACAGGTTGTTGCTGAGTCTTCCTCCAATCTTGATGCTACATCCCTCTTCATAAAGTCCAGCCTCTCAAGTAATCTGCTCTGCATACAGACTGAAGAGA